GCATCTCCAATTATATAACAGAAGTCAATGGGAAAATAGGGTTCGCTATACGGAAAACAACGATTCACGAACGTATTTGTTCCGTGTATCGAGGGATACCCGTACGGCCCTTTCGTTATTCCACTGCTGGATGAGACACCCGCCTCGCGACCCATGAGGTCCTTGGCGGTTGACCGATTTAACCACGTCGGTCAGTGTAGAAGGCAGAAGCCTGGCATCATATATGTGAAAGCGTAGAAGTACGGTACAACCATGGATGTTGCGTGACCCGAGTTTGGATTTGGAGCCGGTGGAGGTATCGAATTGCCGTGTATTTAATAATAATATAAAAAAATAACCAACCGAGAAACTATCCGCTTAATCTTCATTAAGGTCATAGGAAGACGCGTGCATTTGGATGGGAACCAAACCGTGGCATTTCACGGACTTAGAGTCTGTTTCACTGACGGCCGCTTGCGGGTTCGTGCAGAGACCAGGTCCGTAATGGGATGCGGGCGTGTGCATGCGGGCGCATTTACACAAGAATGCACGTGGGTGCCTGCGTGTGTGCGCGCGTGTGTGTGTGTGTAATGGCAAAAACAACCCCGTACCTCCTCGTGGTGCCGGACGGCAACGTTGTGGTGGGCAGCGCCGTGGGTGGGAGGGCCAATTTAGATTGGCCTTTCCCTTCATGGCGTTTGTAACCACCACAGCGGCCAAATGGCGGCTCTGGAAGGGTGCAAGGGGCTGGTAACCCCTCCACCTTCAATTCACTACCACTAAACTACGATGCAAAAAACGTATTAAGCTTGTGCCGGAGGCCGCGGGGGGACAGGCGTCTATGACGTCTCCTGGCCAAACCCCATTTAGGGGAGCCAGGAGACTAAATTTTTACCTTCGGGGCTCTTCCAGAAACAACAAAAAGCCACGACGTGTGGGCACGTGGAATGTTCGAAAGCTCACTGCTGAGGATAGGCTGCCACTCCTCTGTCGGGAGCTGGACCGATACCGCCTGGATATCTGTGGTATTCAGGAGGTCAGGTGGTCCGGCTCTGGCTCCTGCCACCATGAGAGGTGGACAGTCCTCTACTCGAGGCAGGAGACTGCCAAACAACAGGGAGTGGCTCTTCTTCTGACCAAAAGAATGAAGGGGGCATGGGAGAGTGGCAGTGAGGTGTGTGAAGCTGTAAGCCCCAATCTACTTTGGGCTCGCCTTTCCATCAACCAGAGGCGAGGAGTGGTGGTCGTGGTTACTTATGCCCCCACCGAAGATGAACATCCGTGGAGGGATGCAGGCAAGGCCAATGAGTCAGATGTCTTCTACGACCTCCTGTCAATGGTGCTGGCTAAAGTGCCCCCTCGGGATAGAGTAATCTTGTTGAGTGACTTTAATGCCCGAGTTGGTCATGATACTAGCACTTGGTCTGGAGTGATTGGAAGACATAGATCAGCTCAATAACAACGGTAGGAGGCTGCTATAATTTTGTGCAGCCCATGGGCTTGTAATTACCAACACTCTGTTCCGGCATCGGCACATCCACACAACATGATGGATGCATGCCAGGTCCAAGCAAGAACATCTGCTGGACTACAGAATGACGGAACAGCGGATTCGGGCCCATGTCCTTGACACCAGGGGCTACCGTGGAGCTGATCTGCCCACTGTCCATCGACTTGTCATCTGTAAGATGCGCCTGAGACCAGGAAAGGCACCGGACAGAGATGATCTCCCAAGCGAAATACTGAGGGAGGGTGGCGTTTGTGCACAGACTGCCCTACATGACATCATAATAACATTCTGGACCACGGACGGGTTCCGCAGGATTGGAAGGATGCCCTGGTGGTCCGACCTCTTTAAGAAGGGGGACCGCACAGAATGTAACAACTACCGGGGCATCTCACTCCTCAGGAAAGGTCCTGGCAATGGATTATTCAACATTGCCATGCCAGGCACGTTTGCGGAGCACCAATGCGGTTTCAGGAAAGGGCGGTCTTGCACAGATGCCATATTTTCTGTCCGTCTGCTACAGCAGAGGTGTAGGGAATTCCAGCAAGACTTACCATCAGCTCCACCAAAACTAAGCACCTGCCTGGGTATTTTGTTACATCGGACACTCCACCCCCATAACTCCCAATTGGTGATAGGGCAGTTGTGGAGGGAGTGAAGAGTTCCCCATACCTGAGCAGTGTGCTCATGACCGGCTCCGGTTTGACAGCAGAGGTCTCACTCCGAATCAGTCGAGTGGCATTGGACTTGCCGATGACTGGTACCAGCGGTGTCAAGATCAGCCTCTGTGGAGGAGGCTTGTGAAGGACGCTACGGGGTAGTTGGAGGCAGTTTCCATCCAACAACAACGGAGGGGGAGGAGCGACGCTCACAACAACGAGCAGAGCGCCGGGTGGCTAAAGCACAGCAAGTTGGCACTGTAGGGGGCACAGATGGTGCATCAGCCAGTCATCTCAGTTAGTCGACCCGTGGCATCTGGGTCTGCCCCGTGACCTCCTGTCAGTGGTCGTTCGACACTTTACGTGGTCTCAAGGTGCACATAGCCTGGCACAAGTGTCGTGCTCACGCCACCGCCACATAGTGGCGAATGGCGGTTGTTATTGTGTAATGGGGAGCGGTAGTGTAGCGGTAGTGTAGCGGTTAGTGTGCTGCGCTACAAACCCCGTGACCCGAGTTCAATTCCCGTTCATAGTCAACACCAGTGACGATTATCTGAACCGGTCCTGGGCCTCCCCTAGGTCGACTCAGGCTCAAATGAGTATCTGGTGCGATGTGTAAAAACATTGCCACTAGAGAGACAAAGGCAGCCGGGCGTGGTGCTGGTCACCCACCCCCTCGTGTGCCGTTCCAGCTTTCATAGGTGCTCGCTAACAGCACAAATCGGTGGATCACGCGCACAGGTCCCAGGGGACAATTTGTCGCAATGGGGTTGATTGACTAATTAATTCACGATGCCTCATCAACCGTGACTCGCTCCTTCCCGCGAGCGGGGGGCGGGCTCGAAGTGTTCTCCAAGAAGGAATCCTCCCCTCCCACTCCACCCACCTGTAACACAGGGGAGTGAGTAATCGGATACTTTTGTAATGGACGTGTGTGTGTGGGTGTAGGGCCTCCCCTAGGTCGACTCAGCCTCAAATGAGTACCTGGTGCTGTGTGTAAACATCGCCACTGGGGAGACAAAGGCGGCATTGAACTCCTCCACCCCCCGCGTGCCCCCCCCTTCTGCACGTACCCCTCCCTCCATCCCTACCTGCCCAACGGAACTCACCTGTCATTTGTATGATTTAGCAAACGTGGCTCGCGCCACGCACAATAATGCAACTTAAAGAGCGGATAAACAAGACGTTACCAATGAAGCCAAACTAATTCCGTATGCTCGCCCTGTCTAACATCGGCAGGTCACCAGCATTGATTCAAGCAAGTCTGCTGATGAGACACTGCATGTCAAAACCGGTTCAGAATTTGCTTGTCTTGAAACAATGCTGCTGAAATCGTGCACTCCCGAGAAAGATGTCCGTCCGGCTGATGGGTCGTGTAAGAAATTATTTTATACTGGTAAGAACCCCCTGGTTACACCAGCCCCCAGGAAATTATTCTGTCCGTCCGTCGTGCATCCAAAAATGGGTGGGGTGGGGCTGGGTGGGGAGGGGAGGGGTGGGGCTGGGTGGGGAGGGGAGGGGTGGGGCTGGGTGGGGAGGGGAGGGGTGGGGCTGGTCACCCCGTGGTGCCTAACTTACTCACGTCGGCTTGTGCCCGCCCTCATAGTCGGCCATATTTGCGGAATACACCACGCCGCCGTTGACCCTGGCCATTGACCGAGCAACCCAACGTTCCTACCAGCTCCCTCCGCAGGAGGAATGTGTTATTTAGTTTACGAGTAAAGACGTCGCTCGTGTAGTTCGTTCATTCCTGGAACAACGTTCCGGACTGTTCCATCTGCGATTAAAGCCAAGGTCCCAGGTACAGCAGTACACGCCACATTGACAAGCAATGGCTTGGTGAAGATGAGATGGGATTGCCACTTTCGTTTTTAATGATAGAAAGAGTTGCAACCTCACAAACCAGGGTGTAACGATTCACTCTCAGCGAACTGTCGAAATTCGAATCCAGAATCGATGTATTAAACATTGTTTTGAAACAAAAGACCGTGGCGAATGTATCGGCCACTCGTGGTTGCATGAGTCACGTGCAGTGGATGTCACGAGGCATGAGCAAACCCAGCAGACAAGATTGAACTCTACCAGCGATACGTCGAATCAAAGCGTTCACACGCGTGTGGATGTTGCTCTCCACCACGCCGAGGTGCTCAAGCGGAAAGCAATTGTAAAAGTGGCTACGTTTGTTCACGTGACCACTTTATTGATTTGGCTATGCCGGGTGGAGGAGGGTGTACGACACAACATTTGTCATTGTTAGTACACTCGGCGATCCGAATCCCCAAAACTAAAATTATGAATCAAGCCCAAGCTATTAAACGATACGCAAAGTGCATCGTTACACCCCCCTAATGCAGACACAGTATAGACCCAGACAGCTCTACAGAGATTTTATTTTAAACATCGAGAAGTCATCACCACCGCACCTCACCAACGCCTCCAACCCTCTGCCAGATTATGAATCTGCGACACAGTGGACACTCGACCCCCCGAGACCTGCCCTAAGATTAAATAGAGTAAAAAAGACGGCCACGTAATTTGAAACACGAAACTCACGTGGCCGGGAGACGCTGAGGTCGGAGACGCTAAACCGTCAACGCTAAAAGACCTGAGTTCGCTTTCTGTGAATAAGGCGAGTTCTCAAGTGTAGTGAATTGGTGGTCTCATAACATATTCTTAGGTTTTTTCAGTAAAGTCACGTAGGTAAAAAATTGAAATTAATAAAAGTAAAATAAAAATAATATAATAATCACGACGTTTCGGAGGCAACACAAGCTTCCGTCGCCTCCGAAACGTCGCGATTTATTTATTTATTTGTATTTTACTTTTATTAATTAAACATTTTTACCTACGTGACTTTACCCAAAAAAACCTAAGAATATGAATCCTTGCAGTCACGAAAGCTTCAAATCTAGGTCTCATAACACACGCACGCACCCACAATGCCTTTTGATGTTGCACGTCACTGGAGTGAGACTGTCGGTCTGGCCGTCGTGTGGCGAGCGTTACTCCCGCGACAGAGTCTCAGAAGTAACTCCGTGATAGCCGCTTCCACGGGCCGCTCTGCGATTGGATTCTAAGGCTCGTGACGCGACACCGGTGGTGGCACGATCGGAACAACGTCGCAGGAGAGGACAAAAAACCATCAAAACAAAACCGAGAATCGAGTGACACAATCGTGACTTCTTTTTGACACCCTTAGATTTGCTGGCGCTGCTGTTGCTACTGTGAGTGTGAGGAATGTGGCTGATGCTGCTGCTGCTGATTTTGTTGCTCCTGCTGCTTGAGAATGTTGTGGCTGTGGTCACTGTTGAGCAATGTGGCTGTCGCTGCTGCCGTTACTGCTGCTGCTGCTTGTGTTGACAATGCTGTGGATGATGCTGCACGCGTGCGTGACTGTTGCTACCGTGTCGCCGGAGCAGCTGACGAGATTCGATTTAGTCAAAGAGTTGTCGGGCCATAGCTGCTGTTCCTGCTGCTGCTGTTGCAAAAGCAGCAGTTGCTGCTGCTGTTGCTTCTGCTGCAGTCGCAGCTGTTATTACCCTCGCTGCTGCTGCTGGTTGTGCTGCTTTTCAGGATGCAGCAGTTACTCTCCATTGTTGCTGCTGCTGTTACCACTTCTGCTGCCGGTGCAACAGTTTGTTCCTGCTGCTGCTGCCCCTGGTCGACGCTGCTCCACCGCCACCAGCGCTACCTTCGCGCGACGTTCCTGGGCGCCTTGTCCCACTCGTGAATTCGCTGCTGCTGCTGCTTCTGCTGATGATGCTTGTGCCGCCGTCCCCTCTTCATCTCCTCCGTGACGGCCACAGCAGAGGTAGCGGCGGCGGCGGCGCCGTAGCGGAAGACGCTCGCTCGGCCGTGCTTCTCGAGGCAGTCGCTCGCGGCGGAGAGGACGCGCGCGACGCGGCGGTCCAGGGCCGCGAGGTGCCCCTCGGGCAGCAGCGGGGCCACGGGGTCCGCGGCGCCGCTCTCGCGCATCAGCGAGCTGAGCAGCAGCGGGGCGCGCGACAACAGCGACAGGCGCGACAGCGTGGAGCGACGCACGCTGTTCGTGGGGGGGGGGGGGGGTATGGGGGCACGGGTGGGTGGAGGAGGAATGGGACGGTGGGGGAGAGGGGTGGAGCGGGGGGGGGGGGGGAGTTGGCGGGAGGATGGAGCCAGGAGGGTGGAGGAGTGAGTGGAGCGGGCGCGGGAAGGTGGAGGGGGGACCGGGAGGGTGGAGCGGGTGAGGTGAGATGGTGGATCAGAGGGTGGAAGTGCGGGGTGGAGTGGGGGGGGGGGAGAGAGGGTGGGGGAGCGGGGGAGAGAGGGTGGGGGAGCGGGGGAGGGTGGCAGTGATGATGATTATATTAATGACTGCTACTATTATTACGACTAAACATTATCTGTTGATGATACTGCTCCGTTTGGCAGAAGTGCACAAGTACTGGACAATGGACGAAGCAACTCAACGCCTGTTATCCAGCACTGTGGAGGCAGCAGCAGGGGTTGGTGGACCACACACGGATGTTGTGAAAACTCCCTTCTCACGGGCGTCGAGATGGTGCCATACCCTGGCTTGCCAGGAAAAGGCGGCCCAACAAGACGGACTGACTAATCGCCATCTGCTTCTATCAGCACGGAGATCGAGCGTTGCTCCCTCGCACGTGCGAGTTGTGTCCGCTTTTTTCCCCTCCCACTTTGTAATAATCGCTCATTACCAATATGCTGATCAACATCTAAACATGAAAACGTATACTCTCTAAATGGACGTTCATAAATGTGGAGGGGAACATCGGAGCTGGAGAAAAATCCACTCGACCGCGGGGAGAGAAACACGCAAACTCCGAGTAAACAGGCACCAGGTACGGGCCACTGAGCGATGTAGCTCTTTTTCAGAAACAACCTGTCCACAAATGATAGCTCAACGAATTGGCTTATCGCGTGGAAATTTATAGCAGCCAAATACAACGCCACGTTTCTAAACGTGGAGGGGAAAACCGGAAGAATTGGAGATAAATACACGCGACAACGGGGAGAAAGACGCGCAAACTACAAATACACAGCAGGCGTCAGGGTCGGGAGCGAACCCACGACCTCCTGTATAGCTGGCGAGCTATTTAACATCTAATACCTAAATAATGGTACAACTTTGTGTTAACTTTGTTTTAACATTATTTAGTAACACTTAACTTTGTTTTATCATTATTTAGTAATACTTATTAGATTCGAAGCTTTCGTGACTGCAGGAATTACTCTTTGGTTCTTTCAGGAAAGCCATGTAGAAAGAAAATTAATTAAATAATAATATAACCAAGCGAACATAGTTAACATCTCCTAACCAACGTGGCAGAACCCTCCTAAATCTGGACGAGGTAAAAAAAAACACCTTTAAGTCGTAGCTTGTAAAATATGGATCTCAGCCAAAATACTCAATTCCCTCCATTGACTTGCAAGTGGCGTAGAAGCGTGATGCTTCTGGGCCATGATGCAAGGGGTGACACTGGGCCCTCTCTTTCCAATCCCAGTGGCCTTCGAAGCGCCTTCGAAGCTCCTCCGATCCGGGGCATCTGGTGAAGTTGCAACGCCTTGGCACTCGACAGCGACGCCACTGATTGGCTACAAGTCCGAGATTGATTTCAAAACCACACCACCTTCATTATCCGCCATCAAGTTATCACTTGCCACCTTCCGAAAAAAAAACTTTATTAGTATTCGCGTTTTTGACTCAGGGGGCGCCGTCCATAAATGACGTCACGCGATTTTGGATGATTTTTTACCCCCCCCACCACCCCCCTCGTTACACGCAGTCACAAAAAGTCAGACCCCCCCCCTCAAATATGACGTCACAAACCTCTGCCCCCCCCCCCAAAACCATATTTCCATTTTGAAAATAAAACATGCTTCAAATCGCTGTAAACTATTGTCATTGTAGTGCGTATTTAATGTGGCGCTGCACTCTGATGTTGTAGGAGAAAACATTTATTAAAAAGTCTATTTAATTAAGTAGAACGTGTTGTCTATATTTATTTAAAGTTGCGCATTTTGACGTGACGTCACATTCCTCACCCCCCCCTCGTCACACATCGTCACAAATGTCTGACCCCCCCCCCCCACCCCTAGGTGCGTGACGTCATTTATGGACGGCCCCTAATGTGTTATTAAGTTTGCGGTGATCCGTGTTTCTACTGGAACTACTGTTGCAGCGTCCGTGCCTCTGCAGCAATGGTGACTGGCAGCCCCTGGGGGCGCTCTACCCAGTCACCAAGAGAGGGGGGTGACGATGACGATGATGATGGAGGTAACATTTTGACTGAAAACTTTCGTGACTGTGCAGGAATTCATTTTCTATGGTTCTGTCGATAAAAAAATAAAAAAAATTCACCTAAAGAACCACCATAGAAGATGATGACGGTGAGATGGTGATGATAACAAAAAAGTAAAGGCGCAGCCTTGCAACTGCTCGCTTCACGCCACTGCCGGCGGAATGCTTTAGAGTTGTGGGTGTGGTCAGGGCTGTCCATGGGGGGGGGGGGGGGAGGTGCGGGGCCCGGGGCGAACCCCACACCGTCTGCTCCCCCCCAGACGCCTTCAGAATAAACCGGGAGCATTAAAACCGACACCGTGATGTCGAAGCGTGCCCCACGCCCCCCAAAGTGCGCGGCCTGGGGCGGGCGCAACCCCCCCCCCCGATTCGCCATACCCTAGGGACGCCTCTGGCATTGCGTGATGCGTGTCACGTGGCACCTTTTTCACTTCTATACGAGCGAGCCAAACCCATGCGAATTATACGTTCACTGAGAAATGAATTGATGTGATAAGATACTGACGGTGACCCACTGCTCGATGAAGGCCTCCCTCCCCCCACCCTCAAGTCGTGTCTGTCATGTGGGTTTCTTGACCATACTTCACCACGATGGTCAGTGTGGGTTGGTGAATGTGGGGGAAGGCCCAGATAATAATCGCCATCGATGTTAACCACAGTCCGGAATCGAACTCGCGCGTCCGGGTTCACAGCGCCTTTCGTTAACCACTGCCCCACCGCTCGCTCGATGTATCGATGTATTCCACGTGATGGAGATGGAGGTGCTCACATCGAGCGCAGGTGAGATGACAATGATCGTCACGAGTGGTGATGTTGAATGTGGCAGAGGCGGTCATAACGATGACACTGATGATGATTACAACACTGGCGAGGATGATGACGTCACATATGATGATGATGATAACAGTGGTGGTGATGAAGATGACGTTCACTTACACGCAGCACTGGATGAGTGGTGCCAGGATGGATATTTCATCATGCGAGTGCTTCCCGAACCTGGGGCACAGACACACACGGGCGGGGTATCATGCAGGCAGTGTCGCGCAAACTCACCCACCCATAAACTCACCCACCCACCAACTCAACTACTCACCCATCCACCCACACAGCCTGTCCATTTCTCTATCCATATGTTTGCCCCCCTCTCCATCCGTATGTCCGTCCATCCAATCTTCCGTCGACACGTCTCTCTATCCATTCACCTGTCCGTCCATTCATCTGTCCATCCGTCTCTCTGTCCTACCGTCCATCCGTCTATCGACCTGCTCATCCTCTGTCCCTCTAACCCCCCGCCTACCCACGTCCGTTGTCCAGGTGCAGGAGGAAGGTGTTGTTGCCGAACTTCTCGAACGTCTCGTAGTGGTGTCTGTCCATGTTCCCTGCACGCCGCGGACAGAGCCGAGTGTTGCCCGGCGGCAGTTTACGCCCCCGATCACCGAACGAGTCGGCCACACCGCCTCGCCTGAATGAGCTCCGTGCACGGGAGAGGCCGGGTGGTTGCAGGGGTGGGGAACCTTTTTTTCTGCCAAGGGCCATTTGGATATTTGTAACATCATTCGCGGGCCATACAAAATTATCAACTTAAAAATGAGCCCGCTATATTTTGTCAAACATGTAATTAACTCACCCCTAATGCGATGGCTGGAACTGCTTCTCTTTGGCGAGGCGTGTGATGTTAACTGGTATTGATCATGTTGCTGCTACTCGCAACTGCTTTTCCAGGTTCGCTCCTCGATTTATTGAATTTAGGGTTTATGTACGGCTCGAGCTTGAGCTATGGGTGTCATTGTGATGACGATTCGGGCGAGCTGAAGGCGTAGGCCCGTGGTTGCATCAGTTAGGGTCGCGCACAGGGTGATGGCGGGGGTTTAGAGGTATGTCGTGTTGGGGTTCAAGGCTCGTGGTCGGGCTAGAGTTCAAGAACGAAACCTCGTGCTCCAGCGCTCGGTCGAGAGCCACAGGTCTCTTATCCGCGGAGGCATCCCCATTTGGGCGAGACGAAGCCTCTTTAATGGGGGGGCAGGCTGTGGGCATGGACACCGTGCAGGAGAAACTGCGATTGTGTATGTGCACGGAACCATCGGTGCCAGCCGCGTTGCGGTGACAAACACGAATAGACAACACGCAACGAATGCCTGGCCAAACACCCCATTGCGTGCAGACATCGACAGGTCAATTCCTGGTGCTGTGGCCGGAGCAGCCATCGTTGTGTTTATGGCACAGGGGAGGTGGAAGAGGTGGAGGAGGTGGAGGAGGGGGGGGGCAGAAGTGGTCTTAATGGGGGGGGGGGGGGGTTTCCCCCCCATCCAAAAAGATTGAGAACAACCGGTCTAGACCATTGAAACCTCATTTTCCAGTAACAAAATATGATAATTGGTTTTTTACTCTTTTATCTGGCATCTGGTCCAACATCATGTGAGACTAGGCTCTAAAGAAAGCGGTCTCGGGTGTGGACCAATCAATTTCAAGGACAGTGCATACATTATCAGAGTTATGTGTTTTGTTTGCATTCCGACTGCAGGTATTGTGGTCATTGCAAACATGTCATTTTTTTTGCCAGATAAAAGGGTAAACAACCCATTATCAACCGGTCTAGAGTTAGGCCTCTTATGGTTATGGTCATGGCTCGGGTTATTATCGCTATGGTGTTCGGGTGGATGTCGGGGCGAGTGACAGTGCTAGGGCTAGAGCAGCGTTCTTCACTCATTTTCAGAGGGGGGGCGGGGGGGCGGGCACCTTCGCCGATAAGATATCAGCGTGAGGGCCATCACGCATTTGAAACCATCAGCGTTTGACAGCAGCACGATGGGATGCGTCAAGGCCGCACTAAAGGCCACCAGGGGCCACCACACTGGGCTTAGAGGGGAGGCCCAGGGCCGGATTAAGCTAGTGCGGGGCCTGTAGCAAATGTTATAAAGGGGGGCCTAATTTTAAGAAAAACTAATAAATATTAATACGCAAATTTTTTTACTTGCATAATAAAGTAATTGTATTTTCTCATTCGCTTCGCAGCCAGATAATACGACAAATCGCTAACCTTAAACACCCGGTCGTTCATAAAAGTTGAAGGCGGTGTAGTACTATAGTAATAGAGCAAGTGCAGAATCACTGAACCGGAATTGACAGCTTGAAAGCATTTAGCGCGGGGGGCCCTTGAAAGTTGCGGGGCCCCGTATCATTATGTAGCTACTTTTGCTATTGGGATAATCGGTCACTGGGGGAGGCCGAGGCAGGCCGTGCCTGTGAGGAAGTCGAAGATGCTCATGTCGACGACGTCCAGGAGCCGCTTGCCGGAGTTGTACGGCGGCGTCCGCTTCACCTCGTCGCAGTAGCCGGGGTCAACCTCCCAGCTGATCCGCCACCGCCCGGACACGACCACACCACGCAAAGGCAAAGATCACCCGCGGAGCCTTGTACAGAGTGTTGGGGCAAGTGCTGTTCGCGAGTAGCGCCTATGAAGGCCGGCACGGCGCACGAGGGGGTGGGTGGCCAGCCCTACACGCCCCGGCCCCCTTTGTCTCCCCAGTGGCGATGTTTACACATTGCACCAGGTACTCGTTTGAGGCTGAGTCGACCGGCGGGCAGGACTGGTTCAGATAATCCGCAGCCAGGAATCCAGCCAGCTAGCCAAAACTGGGTATAATTGTAAGGCCTTGTATATATTTAAAACAGATATATGTTAAAAAAATATATATTCACATAACTAATTTTTTTTAAAGCTTTAAAATATTCGGCCCCATTCATTGAGAAAAGTGACAACTCACTCGACCCCTCTCTCTCACCGCACTCACTCACCCCCTCTCACTCACCACACTCACTCCCCCCTCTCTCTCACCACACTCACTCGCCCCTCTCTCTCACTCACCACACTCACTCACCCCCCTCTCTCTCACCACACTCACTCGCCCCTCTCTCTCTCACCACACTCACTCTGCCCCCTGTCACTCACCACACTCACTCAGCCCCCCCTCTCTCACCACACTCACTCTGCCCCCTCTCTCTCACCACACTCACTCTGCCCCCTCTCTCTCACCACACTCACTCAGCCCCCTCTCACTCACCACACTCACTCATCCCCCTCTCTCTCACCACACTCACTCAGCCCCCTCTCACTCACCACACTCACTCGCCTCTCACTCACCGCACTCACTCGCCTCTCTCTCACCCCACTCACTCAGCCCCTCTCACCACACTCACTCTCCCCTCTCTCTCACCACACTCACTCCCCCCTCTCTCTCTCGCACCACGCTCACTCTCCCCTCTCTCTCACCACACTCACTCAGCCCCCTCTCTCTCTCTCACCACACTCACTCAGCCCCCTCTCTCTCTCTCACCGCACTCACTCGGCCTTGCGCCGCTTGTTGTACGACCGGCGCCACGGGTTTCGCCACGACTTGCGTGGCGCCTCGGCCGTGTCGGGCAGGAAGGCGGCCAGCGAGGCCTCCAGCTGGTCAGGCCGCCCGCACAGCGCGTGCTCCGTGGAGCAGTAGTAGGAGCACTCGCCGTAGAAGCACACGTTGTTGGCTGTGGAGAGAAGGACACGGGCCGAGGGTTCGACACCGTGGTTAGACGTACGTGCGTGTGTGCGTGTGTGAGAGTATGTAGTGGTCGTGTAACGGTTAGCGCTGCGCTGCACTACGAACCCTGGTGATCCGAGTTCGATTCCCGCTCACGGCCACCACCAGTAACGATTAAACCAGTCCTGGGCATCCCCTAGGTCGACTCAGCCTCAAATGAATGTCTGGTGCTGTGTGTAATCATCGCCAGTGGGGAGACAAAGGCAGACGGGCGTGGTGCTGGCCACCTACCCCCTCGTGTGTCCGTGTTGGCCTTCACAGGTGCTCAACCAACAGCACTTGCCCCGAAAGTATGTCAAGGCTATATGGGGGGTCTTTGTATTTGCGTGCGCGCGTGGGAAGCGGTGGTGCAGCAGTCAGCGCGCTGCGCTACCAACCCAGCGCTGACAAGAGACAAAGATCTCCCGTGTAGCCTTTCACCGACTGTCGGGGCAAGTGCTGTTCGCGAGTAGCACCTATGAAGGCCGGTGCGGCACACGAGGGAAGTGGGTGGCCAGCACCCCGCCAGGGCCGCCTTTGTCTCCCCAGTGGCGATGATTACTACATTCGAGCCTCGGGGAGTCGGCCCAGAACCGGTTCAGACAAAAATCTCCGGTGGTGGCCGTGAGCGGGAATCGGAAGCCGGGGGGGGGGGGGGTCACCTCCGAGCACCTGGCGAGATGAAGAATGTCTTGAGGAGCTTCTTGTCCTTGCTGATGTCGCGGATTTCCCTTGTGAGGTTGAGGAGCCTCCCAGAGACGGGCGGAACGCGGCGGAAGTCCAGGATCCTGGGGGGGGGGGGGGGGGGGGGGTGGGTGGAGGCACACGGGGCGAGCGCGTCACTCGCCGCTTGAAAAGTGCCGTTTGTTGCTGACCGCCCGGCATTCTGTGAACCATTGTGCCCCTCCCCCCCCCCCCCCCCTTCTGTGCTCGGTGACCGTGACGCCGGCAAACTGGAACGTTGCCCTCTTAGCTCCGTCGGATTCGAGGAGGAGATCCCTCCGGTCGCCCGCGATTTTCTGGTTTCCAACGACGCCCGCGGCCAGTTGCATTGTTGTTGTTGTTTTTGTTGTTGTTGGTTTTTTTGTTGTTGTTGTTTTTGTTGTTGTTTTTGTTGTTGTTGTTGTGCTGTCGTCAGTGCGGTGCGAAGCAGCTGAGAGGCGACTCCTCGTCACTGACGGAAAGAGGATTGCGTCAAAAAGGGGGGGTGGGGGTGGGTTTGAGACCTTATGTGTAATGAGGTGAGGGGGGGGTAGAGAGAGAAGGGGAGTGTGGGCTGTGATCTTTGTCTTTCACTCTGTGATTGTAATTTACTGTTGCTGTTACCCCCCCCCCCCCAGCAGTTTCTCTCAGCAGCAGCAGCGGCGTCAGTGTTTGAACGGAGAGGCTGGAGATGGGGTCACGCTGGACCACCCGGGGGGTTTTGCCGCTTCGACAAAATGCCGTGGCGAAACATTGGGGACGACGGGCGAGAGATTAAAATTGTTATTCATTGTCAACGTGGTCAAACAGAGCCGCGTCTCTTTACTCTGGGCGTGTGTCCGTGTGTGTGTGTCTGTGTGTGTGGGTCTGTGTGTGTGTCTGTGTGTGTCTGCGTGTCCGTGTGTGTCTGTGTGTGTCTGCGCGCGTGTGTGTCTGTGTGTGTCTGCGCGTGTGTGTGTCTGTGTGTGTCTGTGCGCGTGTGTGTGTCTGTGTGTCTGTGTGTGTGTCTGTGTGTGTCTGCGTGTCTGTGTGTGTCTGCGTGTGTCTGTGTGTCTCTGCGCGTGTGTGTGTGTGTCTGTATGTGTCTGTGTGTCTGTGCGTGTGTCTGTGCGTGTGTCTGTGTGTGTGTGTCTGTGTGTGTCTGCGCGTGTGTCTGTGTGTGTGTGTCTGTGTGTGTGTCTGTGTGTGTGTGTCTGTGTGTGTCTGTGTGTGTGTCTGTGTGTGTCTGTGTGTGTCTTCTTTGTGTGTGTCTGTGTGTGTGTGTCTGTGTGTGTGTGTCTGTGTGTCTGCGCGCGTGTGTGTGGGGAGCGGTGGTGCAGTGGTTAGCGCGCTGCGCCACGAACCTGGCACCCCGGGTTCGATTCCCGTTCACGGCCAATACCCAGTGACGATTATTTGAACCGGTCCCGGGCCTCCCCTAGCTCGACTCAGCCTCAAATGAATACCCGTGCGGTGTGTAAACATCGCCACTGGGGAGACAAAGGCGGCCGGGTGTGGTTTTGATCTCGACACCCCGTGGTGTGCTATGCCGCCCTTCATAGGTACTACTCGCTCACAGCACTTGCCCCAACAGTCTGTTTAAAGGCTATACGGGGGATCTTTGTTGTATACATGTGTCTGTGTGCATGCTGATTGCCATTGTACAGCGGTAAAAATGAACTCTCTTTTTTTATTATACAAATTAAAGTCACGTGTCTACTGCTTTGTGACTAACTCCAGCCGGTCGAAATAATTCAGTCCTTCCCGTCTTCTCCGTAAACTTCAAAGGACCAATCAGCCTCATCTTCAGCGAAGCTGGTATTCATTGTCTAAGCTCAGCTCAGGCAGCAGCAGCAGACATCAAAGACAAAGATCCCCCGTGTAGCCTTAACAGACTGTTGGGGCAAGTGCTGCTCGCCGGCCCAGGTACGCATTTTGAGGCCGAGTCGACCTAAGGAAGGCCCAGGATCTGGTTCAGATAATCGTCACTCGGTGTTGGTGGCCGTGAGCGAGAATCGAACTCGGATCGCAGCGGCAGCAGATATCTAACATTGTTGCAACACGCACACACACCTCGTCTGAGACCACCCCAAGCCCTCTATCCCTTCTCTCTCGATGGTGGAATAATAATGGCCGTGATTGGGCTCCGTGTGTGGGTGGAATGTGACCGTTGTCTTGGCAGGAGATTAGAGGAAATTGGCAGAGCCTGTGCCAGTCCGTGAACCTTGCATCCTCATCATCCATCACGTGTGCTGCTCGCCGTGTGAACTGTGTGCGTGTGTGTGTGTCTGGGAGGCGGTGGTGTCGCGGTTAGCGTGCTGCGCTACGAACCCGGCGATCCGGGTTCGCTTCCCGCTCACGGCCAACATCAGTGACGATGATCTGAACCGGTCCTGGACCTCCCCTAGGTTGACTTAGCCTCAAATGAGTACCTGGTGGGGTGTGTAAGCATCGCCACTGGCGAGACAAAGGCGGTTGGGCGTGGTGCTGGCCATCCGCCCCTCGTGTACTGCTCCGCCTTCATAGGTGCTCGCGAACAGCACTTGCCCCTACAGTCTGTTAAGGCTATACGGGGGATCTTTGTCTTTGTATATGTGTACACACGTGTGCATGTGCGTGTGTGTGTGTCACGGGAGAGCGGTGGTGTAGTGGTTAGCGCTGCGCCATGAACCTGGCGACTCGAATTCGATTCCCGCTCACGGCCACCACCAAGTGACGATTATCTGAATCGGTCCCGGGCCTCCCCTAGGTGGACTCAGCCTCAAATTAGTACCTGGTGCGGTGTGTAGTAATCACCGCCACTCGGGAGACAAAGGCGGCCGGGCGTGGTGTTGGCCACCCACCCTCTCGTGTGCCGTTGCGTGCTTCGTAGGTGCTCGGTAACAGCACTTGCCCCAACAGTCTGTTAAAGGCTGCACGGGGGATGTTTGTATTTGTTTGTGTGTGCATATAACCCCACCCCCACCCCCTCACCTGTCCAGGTGGAAGGCTGCAATCTCTGCGTTGTGTCGCTCTAAGTCGGAGAAGTAAAAAAAATCCGGGGAAGTCTCCTGGTCCCGATTCTGTCTGACGACACACAATGTGATGATGATGGTGATCATCATCAACGCTATCATAGCCATCGATGTTATAAGCGTCATTAGTTTAATGGTCGATTATGTCTCATCATTATCTGAGACCATCATGATGCTCATGGCATTGATGATGATGAAGCGGATGATGATGATGATAATGGCCATGACATTGATTCTAATGGCATTACTGACAATGATGACACTGATGGATGATGATGTCCATGAAATCGATGATTTAATTAATAATAATAACAATTATGGTGACGTTAATGACGATGGCCGTGACAATCGATAATGCTCATTATGTTCATGGTGACGTTAATGATGATGACGACATGATAATGATGATGACGCGTATGGTGATAATGATTATGATGGTCATGGGCTGAGTCAGCCGATATGTAAACTAGAAACTAAACTAAACTTTTATTTTGCCAGGCAATGCCCACTGAGCTATGACAGCTCGACGAAAGCGGCTCGTCACCAAGTGGAAATGTACAGCAGCGAAAGGCCCTGAAACCCAACCTGACGTTGATTCTAAATGTGGAGGTGAAAAAAAACCGGAGGACCCGGAGAAACATCCACGCGACCACCACGGGGAAAGAGAGAGAGACACCGCAAACTCCAACGATACGCCTTTTGGCGTCATCTGGTCCAACACCATGTGAGACTAGGCTCTAAGGAAAGCTGTCTCGGCTGTGGACCAATCAACTTCAAGGACAGTGTATACATGATCAGAGTTGTGTTTTTTGTTTGCATTACGACTGCAGGTATTGTGGTCAATGCAAACATGATTCCTTGCAAAAAAAGTGTCAATTTTGTTGCCAGATAGAAGGGTAAAAAACCAATTATAATATTTTTTACTGGCAAATGAGGTTCCAATGGTGTAAATGCTTACTTTGAGCTCTCATACTCTGATGGTGCATTGTCTTTGAGTTGTGCGCCTTTTGGCGTCATCTGGTCCAACACAATGTGAGACTAGGCTCTAAGGAAAGCTGTCTCGGCTGTGGACCAATCAACTTCAAGGACAGTGTATACATGATCAGAGTTGTGTTTTTTGTTTGCATTACGACTGCAGGTATTGTGGTCAATGCAAACATGATTCCTTGCAAAAAAAGTGTCAATTTTGTTGCCAGATAGAAGGGTAAAAAACCAATTATAATATTTTTTACTGGCAAATGAGGTTCCAATGGTGTAAATGCTTACTTTGAGCTCTCATACTCTGATGGTGCATTGTCTTTGAGTTGTGCGCCTTTTGGCGTCATCTGGTCCAACACAATGTGAGACTAGGCTCTAAGGAAAGCTGTCTCGGCTGTGGACCAATCAACTTCAAGGACAGTGTATACATGATCAGAGTTGTGTTTTTTGTTTGCATTACGACTGCAGGTATTGTGGTCAATGCAAACATGATTCCTTGCAAAAAAAGTGTCAATTTTGTTGCCAGATAGAAGGGTAAAAAACCAATTATAATATTTTTTACTGGCAAATGAGGTTCCAATGGTGTAAATGCTTACTTTGAGCTCTCATACTCTGATGGTGAAATTGTCTTTGAGTTGTGCGCCTTTTGGCGTCATCTGGTCCAACACAATGTGAGACTAGGCTCTAAGGAAAGCTGTCTCGGCTGTGGACCAATCAACTTCAAGGACAGTGTATACATGATCAGAGTTGTGTTTTTTTTTGCATTACGACTGCAGGTATTGTGGTCAATGCAAACATGATTCCTTGCAAAAAAAGTGTCAATTTTGTTGCCAGATAGAAGGGTAAAAAACCAATTATAATATTTTTTACTGGCAAATGAGGTTCCAATGGTGTAAATGCTTACTTTGAGCTCTCATACTCTGATGGTGCATTGTCTTTGAGTTGTGCGCCTTTTGGCGTCATCTGGTCCAACCCATGTGAGACTAGGCTCTAAGGAAAGCTGTTTCGGGTGTGGACCAATCAACTTCAAGGACAGTGCATACATTATCAGAGTTATGTTTTTTGTTTGCATTACGACTGCAGGTATTGTGGTCTATGCAAACATTACTCCTTGTAAAAAAGGTGTCAGTTTTGTTGCCAGATAAAAGGGTAAAAAAACGATTATGATACAGCAGGGCGTCAGGGTCGTGATCCAGCCCACGCGACCTCCTGCACACCGGGAGAGGGGGTTAACATCTCGCCAGCGTGCTCGATGCGGCGTGCCGACTCAAGTCTTACTTCATGGGCTTGAGCAGGGCGACCCCCCCGTTCTCCAGCGACATCACCAGCTTCAGCTGCGTGCCGCCCGGCTTCATCACTGCGGGCAGGGGTGTGTGTGCGTGTGTGTGTGTACATGTGTGTGTGTTCGCGTGTGTGTGTGTACATGTGTGTGTGTGGGTGTGTGTGTGGGTGTGTGTGTGTACATGTGTGTGTGTGTGTACATGTGTGTGTGTGAGTGCGTGTGCGTGTGTGTACATGTGTGTATGTGTACATGTGTGTGTACATGTGTGTGTGTTTACATGTGTGTTTACATGTGTGTGTACATGTGTGTGTGTACATGTGTGTGTGTACATGTGTGTGTGTTTACATGTGTGTTTACATGTGTGTGTACATGTGTGTGTGTGTGTACATGTGTGTGTGTGGGTGAGTCCGTGTGAGTGTAGATGTTGTGTGTGTGGGGGTATGTGTTTGATTGCGGGCGTGTGGGTGAGTGCGTGTGTGTGTGTTCGCGTGTGTGTGTACATGTGTGTGTGTACACGTATCGTTGTGTGTGTGGGGATATGTGTTTGATTGTGGGCGTGTATGGATGATTGTGGATGTGAGTTTGTGTGCGTGCGTCCGTGTGTGAGTGTGTTTACGTGTTTGTGTGTGTACGTATGCATGCGTGAGTGTATAAGTGTTGGGGAAGTGGTTTTGTGCAGTGATTAGCGCGCTGCGCTCTGAACTCCACAACCTCAGTTCGATTCCCGACCCTGGGTAACATCACTGGCGAGTGACATTTGAACGGAAAAGCGTGGAGTTGACCGAATTCACGTAGCAGCCATCACTCAAAGGCATCGCCAGGGCTTGATTCGGTCTATCCTGGCACGGCACACCTAGTCCAGTTTACTAATCACGTCTCAGCTACTCCAGTTTACCAGCGAGCCGAACAATATTCAGTCGGATATACAACACATTCCTGCGGAGAGAGCTGGTAGGAACGTTGGGTTGCTCGGTCAATGGCCAGGGTCAACGGCGGCGTGGTGTATTCCGCAAATATTGCCGACTGTGAGGGCGGGCACAAGCCGGCGTGAGTAGGTTAAACGTTGAGTTTTATAAGGGCACCACGGGGTGACCAGCCCCTCCCCACCCAGCCCCACCCCTCCCATCCCCCACCCAGCCCCACCCTCACCACCCAGCCCCTCCCTCCCCACCCAGCCCCTCCCCCTCCCATTTTTGGATGCACGACGGACGGACGGACACAATAATCCCCTGTGGGCTGGTGTAACCAGGAGGTTCCTACCAGGTTGTATGTCCTGCAGGCATCACACACGGAGCCGTCAGGCATCGCCATTGACGTCACACCAGGAAATAAATAAATAAATAATAACTAATGTGTGCTTTCGGGAGCTGAGCCCTGGACAGCTCCGAATGAAGTTGGAACCCTGCCGCCAGCTGTCACCCATAGCAGGCGTCACTCATAGCAGACACCACTCATAGCTGGCACCACTCATAGCTGGCACCACTCATAGCAGACACCACGCATAGCTGGCACCACTCATAGCTGGCACCACTCATAGCTGGCACCACTCATAGCAGACACCACTCATAGCAGACACCACTCATAGCAGGCACGTACCGGCGCTCACGATCCTCTGCTGGGCGAGGTCTCGCAGCAGCGCGGGCAGTGCGGGAGAGGCGCGTGGGTAGAGGGCGCCACGCGAGATGCCGCGGTGGAAGCGCAGCCACGCAGGGGCCTCCTCCCCATCAGCCATCCTGCAGCATCATCAGCAGAAGCAGCAGCAGCATCAGCATTCTCATCGGCATCATGAGCAGAAGCGTCATCAGCAGAAGCGTCATCAGCAGAAGCAGCAGCATCAGCATCAGCAGCAGCATCATCATCATCAGCAGCAGAAGCAGCAGCATCAGCAGAAGCATCATCAGCAGAAGCGTCATCAGCAGAAGCAGCAGCATCAGCATCATCATCAGCAGAAGCAGCAGCATCAGCAGAAGCGTCATCAGCAGAAGCAGCAGCATCTGCAGCATCATCATTAGCATCATAATCAGCAACATCATCATAATCAACAACAGCATTCTCATCAGCATCATGGGCAGAAGCATCATCAGCAGCAACATCAGCAGAAGCAGCAGCATCAGTAGAAGCGTCATCAGCAGAAGCATCATCATCATCAACAACAGCATTCTCATCAGCATCATCAGCAGAAGCATCATCAACAGAAGCATCATCAGCAGAAGCAGCAGCATCAGCGGCAGCATCATTCTCATCAGCATCATCAGCAGAAGCATCATCAGCAGAAGCGTCATCAGCAGAAGCAGCAGCATCATCATTAGCATCATAATCAGCAGCATCAACAACATCACTCATCAGCAGCAGCATCATTAGCAGTAGCAGCATCAGCAGCAGTAGCATCATTAGTAGTAGCAGCATCAGCAGCATCATTAGCAGCATCATTAGCAGTAGCCGAAGCATCATCATCAGTTGCATCATTAACACCATCATCATTATTAGAAGCAGCATCATCATTGCCATTATCATCTTACACGCAGCTTCAGGCGACCTCTAGATACAGTGTACACACATCTCACGTACAAACCTTCAAGCACATCAATGTACACAAAATTGCATACATACAAAGATCCCCCGTGTAGCCTATAACAGACTGTTGGGGCAAGTGCTGTTAGCAAGCAAACATTGAGATCGGCACGGCACACGAGGGTGCCGATAGACCAATACCACGCCCGACCGCCTTCGTTTCCCCAGGTACGCATTTTGAGGCTGAGTCGACCTAGGGGAGGCCCAGTACCGGTTCAGATATTCGTCACTGATGTTGGTGGCCGTGAGCGAGGAATCGAACTCGGGTCACCGGGTTCGTAGCGCAACGCGCTAACCTCTACGCCACCGCTCCCCGCGCCAACACAAAGATAAAGATCCCCCGTATAGCCTCGACGGACTGTTGGGGCAAGAGCTGTTAGCGAGCAGCACCTATGAAAGCCGGCACGGTGCACGAGGTGGGTGGTTGGCCGGCACCGCGCCCGATGATTACAAACCGGGTACTCATTTGAGGCCGAGTCAACCCAGGGGAGTCCCAGGACCGATTCAGACACTCGCCACCGGGTGTTGTCCACACGTGCACTGTCTCCTCACCACGCGTCTTCTCGCTGCTCGCCGGAGTCAAGCGGCTCAGACGCTGGACTCAAGAGAAGTTCACCATCATCACCATCATCATCACCATCATCATCACCATCATCATCATCACCATCATCAACGTCGCCCTTGCTCCCCTCCCGCGCAGGGCCCCCGTACAGGGGATGTCTAAACAGCTCCTCCAGCAGAGGTGAGGACGACGATGATGGCGCTGGTGACGACGACGACGACGGGGGATGAGGAGGACGAGGCGACGGGGTGGAGGCAACTCGATGTGACTTCGCGTCTGCGAATTTGACCTCGCGGTCGAGCCCTTGCTTCTGTTCGAGGTCATCGTCCTGCTGCTGCTGATGGCGATGTTGCTGATGGCGATATTGCTGCTGATGCTGCTGCTGGGCGCAGGGACAGTCTCCCGTCGCCTTGTCCCAGACGCTCTCGACGGGAGCCGTGAAGTGCAGGAGGAGGTGCAGCGCGCACGTGGCGAACAGCACGAGTAGCACGAGCAGCACGCGGAGTCGGCGAGACATCGTGACGCGAGAGGAGGGAGGGGGGATGGGACAGATGAGAGTGGAGGTGGATGGGAAAAGGGTGTGTGTGTGTGGAACTTCTTTCGCGCCGTCCGTAGCCAACTGCGCTAATTGGAGGTGCGAGATGAGGGAGATGGCGAGAATAGGAGGCGCAGGAGAGAGTCGGGAGATAGTCGTCCGAGTGGGGAAACGAGAGAGACACTGGGGGAGAGGATTAGTGGGGGGGGGGGGGAGAGACGGATTGAGAGACAATGGAAAAGCGATGGGTAGAGAGAGGGGGGGAGGAGAGTGGGAGAGTGGGGAGAATGAGAGAGGTGGGGGAGGAGATGGGAGGGGGGTGAGATTGGAAAGGGGTGCTTGGGAAGAGATAAGGAAGAGTGGAGCGAGAGATAGAGAGAGTGGGAGACGCGGGGAGAGGGGGGACGGAGAGCCGAGAGAGGAAAGAAAAGAGAGAGCGAGGGAGACGTTTGGCCAGGGGGGGGGGGGGGGGGCTAAGGATATGTGGGGAGAGTCAGGAGCGAGAGAGCAATAGGGGATCGACAGTATAGATAGCCTGTATGGATAGCCTCTATGAGATCGACAGTATATATATATAGACTGTATGGGTAGCCTCTATGAGATCGACAGTATAGATATAGCCTGTATGGATAGCCTCTATGAGATCGGCAGTACAGAGAGACTGTATGGATAGTCTATATGGGATAGACAGTCGAGATATAGACTGTATGGATAGACTGTAGGCAGATGAGGATGGATGAAGATGCGGGACCAGGTTCGTCGTAGTATCACCGCCTCCTCCTCCTCTCCGCAGCCGCAGCCGCGTCCGCCAGAGGAGTCTCGCTCCTTGCTCCAGACATCAACAACAACAACAACAACGATGACATCAACAACAACAACAACGATGACATCAACAACAACAACGGCGATGACAATGGAGGATAACAACGGCGAGGCGACCGTTTAACATCCACCTGTCCGTGGCGTGACAATCCATTCACTCCAAACATCTGCCACCACTGCTGCTGCTGTTGCTGTTGCTGCTGCTGTTGCTGCTGCTGCTGTTGCTGCTGCTGCTGTTTCTGCTGCTTCTGTTTCTGCTGCTGCTGTTGCTGCTTCTGTTGCTGCTGCTGCTGTTGCTGCTGCTGCTGCTGTTGCTGCTGCTGCTGTTGCAGCTGCTGCTGCTGTTGCTGCTGCTGCTGTTGGTTTGAATCACGCACGAGCGAGCGTCCACGCGTGATGATGATGGCGATGAATGACGGCGGATGATGATGTTGCTGCTGATGATGGATGATGATGTTACAATCTATGTGGGTTTCTCGGCGTGTCCATCGCGTGCGTCTCTGCGCTGCCCGTTTCTCCCCACGTCTCCCCCCCCCACCCTGTGTCCTCTCCGCCTCTCCCACCCTCTCTCTCTCCTCTCTCTTCCACCCTCTCTCTCCCATTCTCCCCCCACCACCACCCACGTATCCAGCGGCCGCTATGAGGGACTCTGCGATTGTAGCAGAGGCAGTGCGCGTGTCAGTTGCAACCATCATCATCATCATCGTCTCCATCACTATGGTCAACATCTCCACTATCACCATTATCACCACCACTATCACCACCGTCATCATCGTGGTCGCCACCGTCATCGTTACCATCACCACCACCACCATGAGTGTCATCATCACCACCATCAGTACCATCATCTTCAGTGTCAACGCCACCTGCTGATTGCATTGATGATGATCATCGCATTGATGGCGACGATTGATTGCATTGATGGCGATGATTGCATGCATGATCGTGATGATTTCTATCAGGAGTCGCGTGGCAAAGATGCGCGCGCTCTCGCGAGATCACGTGCCCTCCCATTGTTGCTCGGCAAATGGAGCGAACAATGTGGAGAGACGTCATCAGCGAGCCCCCCCTCCTACTCCCCCCCAACCCCCGCCCCTCACATCTCAACCTGCCCCCTACCCACGGCCAGTCACCCCGTGCCAGCTCGCCTCGAACACTTGGACGCACGCGCCGCCCTCATTTTTGCATCCAGAAATAAGCTGCACTTGCAGCGCGGTGGCTTCAAAGTTGAATTTCCCCCCACCCTACTCCACCCCACCCCCCACCATTCTTCTTCGGACGCTGTCTTTCCGACAGCCCTGTTCTTCACCTGAGGACGGCTGCTTGCGTTGTGGCCGAAACGTCGTGAGAATTTTATTTTATTATGTTAATTTGTATTACTTTATTATTTCCCTTCTACGTGACTTTACCAAAAGAACCAAGAAGATGAATCCCTGCAGTCACGAAAGCTTTAAATCGAAATTTGCGTCCCACTCCTTCAGGTACATGCACGACACAACGAACGGTACTCGAGCAATGTTATTAGGAATGTGAGTGACAATAAATACGTGGATACTTACACCTCATTTCCATGTTATTGTTTCGTTAAAATGAAAATAAATACAAAATTAATCATAAACATGTACCCATCCCGTCAGCCGCACGGTCTTCTGGGTAGCGATATCAGCACTGGTGGCTTAGAGAGCCGAATGGACTTCAAAAGAACTCGCAAACTAACGCCTTGTCGTGAAAGATCCAACGCACACGTTCCCTGCCTGGGTTTGATCTTCCACAAAGCTCACGGTCCACCCCAAACCGCATCCGCTCTCACAAAGCCGTGGCAGCAGATGCGGCAAAACCCTGACACGCAAATGGAAAGTGGAAAAACTCTGCCGCGCTGTGCGGCTGCAGCCACGCAGGAGAGAGACGGTACAGGGCATGACGATTCCGCTCATCAACGACAATAAGTAAGAACAATTTAAGCATTTATATTATTGGTTCTTTCGGTAAAGTCACGTAGAAGGGAAATAATACAATGATAAAATAATACAATTCTCACGACGTTTCGACTGCAACACAAGCAATCATCATCAGGTTTGAAATCCACAGCAAGAAAATTTGAAATTTTTTTCTGTGTTTTGTATATGAAAAAATAAAAATCTTGCTGTGAATTTCACACCTGATGATGATTGCTTGTGTTGCAGTCGAAACGTCGTGACAATTTTATTGTTTTATATTTTTATTATTTTATTATTTCCCTTCTACGTGACTTTACCGAAAGAACCAAGAATATGAATCCCTGCAGTCACGAAAGCTTTAAATCAAAATTTAAGCGTTGTGCTGTGATCATGACATGCACAGTATGCTGGGACTTACCCTTTGACGTTGCACATTCACTATGATTTAATAAAATAACTGTGATTGCTCTCTTGGCAAACTCTCTTCTGCCATAAGTAACGTGGGAAGTCCACACGCGCCTCGGAGCCACCAATTGCTGAATGATCAATCGCTAAACCATCGGTAACGACGAAACCCCATTGATCGTCAGCTCAGTGAACACACAAACCCAGAGACAACCCCTCGCGCGACGATTGATGTATTTAGTTTTTTACGCATCCCCCCCTGATGACCCCGGGATTAAGACCCTCAACACCTCAGCATTTGAGAACCCAGTTTAATCGCGGACGGCCCAAACCCGGATTTGAACTCTTTGTTTCAAGGGTGCCGGCTCACTCAGTGCCTACTCCCGAGCCACTTGGGAAGGGGGTGGGGCGTGCTCCGTGCGGTGAATCTTAAAGTCAAGGAACTCGTCGCAAAATAACGAGAGGGTCAACCATGGAGTGTGCGTCCGCGTGGCCACTCCGTCGTGTGCCACAGTGCCGGCATTCGTAGGTGCTGCTACTCGCGAACAGCACTTGCCCCAAACAGTCTGTTAAAAGGCTATACGGGGGATCTTTTTCGTTGTGGTGCTGGCCACCTACTACCCACGTGTGCCACAGTGCCGCCCTTCGTAGGTGCTGCTACTCGCGAACAGCACTTGCCCCAAGCGTCCGTTAAAAGGCTACACGGGGGATCTTTGCCTTTGTGTATTTTGCTCTGCGCGTCTCTGCGTCTCACTGCCTGTGTCTCTCCCTCCCTCGCCCCCATCGTGTCTCTGCCCCTGTGTGTCCGTCTCCGTGTCTCTATGCGCATGTGAATGGCTGCGCGTCTTCACGTCTCTCTCTTCACGTCTAGCTGCCTCTCCCCGCTCGAGCAAATGATGGTGGTGGTGGTGGTGGTGATGGTGGTGGTGATGGATTAGTGATGGCTCGTGCAGATAATGTCAGTGGATGAGGTTGGAGTGCTGCTGTGTAACTACGCGGATGTTGCTGCTGCTGATCATGACGATGGTTACTGTTGCTACTCCTGATGGCGATACTTCCTGCTGCCTTGGCTGCTGCTGATTATGATGACATTGGTGATGTCGCTGATATGTCTGCTGTTGCCGCTGATGATATTTCCATTGCTGTGCAGATGCTGCTGCTGGTACCTCATCCGCTTCTGCTGCTGCTGTTCCTGCTGCTGCTGATGAGTATGCTGCACTTGCTGCTGATGATGATGATTCTGCTGCACTTGCTGCTGCTGCTGTTGCTTGCTGATGATGATGATGGTGGTGGTGCTGATGATGGCTGTGTGCGTGCGTGACTCCGCGTCTCACCTGCTGCTGCTGCTGATGCTGCTGCTGATGCTGCTGCACGCTCACGCAACAATAGCCGCCTTCTCCTCGCGGCAGGGGCCCGTGAGATCTTAATTAAAGACTCTCATTACAGCCCCCACCAACTCACCTCCCTCACCTCCCTACCGCCCCTCACCCTAACCCTGACAGGGCACGCCGTGATTAAGCAGTTTCCTTCTCTCCGGCTCCCTCTGTGTGTGTGCGCGCGTGTGTTTGTTGTGCGGAGCGGTGGCACGTCGGTTAGCGCGTGACGCGAGTTGGATTCCCGCTCACGGCCAACAACAGTACCTAGTGCGGTGTGTAAACATTACGTGCCGGGAAGACAAAGGCGGTCGGGCGTGGTGCTGGCCACCCACCCCCCTCGTGTGCCGTGCAGGCCTTAATAGGCGCTCGCTAACAGCACTTACCCCAACAGCCTGTTCAGGCTCTACGGGGATATTTGTCTTTGTTGCGGGGAGCGGTGGTTTGGTGGTTAGCGCACTGCGCTACGAACCCGGCGACACAAGTTCGATTTTGCACTCATGGCCTACCCCAGTGACGATAATCTGAGCCGATACTGGCCATCCCTGAGGTCGACTGAGCCTCAGATTAGTACATGGTTGCGATGTGATAACATCAGCAAAAGGGAGACAAAGGCGGCCGGGCGTGGTGCTGGACACCCACCCCTTCATG